ACATATGTTTACTAACATTTTGCAGTCATAGCCTTGAGCTAGTGGAGTGAGAGTGTTTTGCATATTCAGACATGCCATAACACGGAAGGCTAATGAATTTCCTTCTGTTTTCAGATCAGCGTAACATTAATTTTCTTACTTTGAACTGTAACTGAAAAGGTTTACATTTATCCAAGTTATATTCGTTCTAACGTGTATTAGGCTGGTTTCCGTTTCATTAAATCCAAGAAATGTAGCTTTTTATGTCAATACATGTTCATACATGTGGACAGAGTTATAACAGTAGGGAAAATAAAGAAATAGTTTACCCAAAAATTACCTAAAAATTGTCATCATCTATGCCTTCATGCCACTAAAGATTTGCACACAAGTATTGATTTGTGTCCTTGTTGATGCTTGAAATCTTCAGACCCCATTTATTGTATACTGCATGGGAAAAACAACCAGCACAGACTTCAGAATTTATCTTTTTTTTCTCACAGAATAAAGAAATTAATATTCTTGTTTTATTTATTTTACTATTACTCTGAATTAATTATATGCATAAACATTCAGATCTAACTTATAACTGTACTAGAAGGATATTATCTTGTCAGTCTAACAAATCTATTGAATGATTCCAAATTAAGCTAAATGAGCTTTTGCTTTGTCTTATGGTTAACCTGTCATTTAATTGATTCAAAGGTGAGAAAAGGCCAAAAGAGTTATTGAAGGTTAATACTGCCACCTACTGGTAGAGCCCCAAAATAGACTTCATGTGTGAAAAGTATCCTCACAGAGGAAAACGTTACTGGAACCACAATAAAAACAGCGAAATGCTTTTTCTGTGCTTTATTGTGTTTTAATTTTATTAATAGAATTTTTATTACAATAAAATAAATAAATACATGAATATGAAGTGTATATATTTTAATTTGTTTTATTGTGTTGTAAATTCCTTCCAAAATCCTTTTAATTCAATCATCTGTAAAGAACATGTGAAATAAACCATGAAAAAATAAACCATAAAAAAAAAAAAAAAAAAAAAAAATTGGCTCATGCATGCTTTTTCTCTGTGTTCTGGAACCAACGGCTTCATTTTTGAGACGTTAAGATGCGTTTTGTAAAGTAGCCACTACATTCTATTTGCATTAAATGGGTCATATGATGTTGCTAAAAAGAACAGTATTTTGTGTATTTGGTGTAATGAAATGTGTTTATGCGGTTTAAGGTTCAAAAAACACATTATTTTCCACATACTGTACATTATTGTTTCTCCTCTATGCCCCGCCTTTCTGAAACGCGTCGATTTTTACAAAGCTCATCGATCTGAAAAGCGAGGTGTGCTGTGATTGGCCAGCTATCCAGTGCGTTGTGATTGGCCGAATACCTCAAGCGTGTGACGGAAATGTTATGTCCCTCACCACATTGTGATGCCTGCGGCAACCACCTGTGACGACCCCGGGCTGGACTCCGCTTCGTCCACGGTGAAAGCTGATCCGGCGATACATCACCATTGATGTATTTCCTCAGCGACCAGCACGGATCAGCTCCAGGCATGACGAAGCGACCAAACAAAGTAGTTTTGCTTTCACAACGAATCACACAGTGCCTTCATGACATGACGGCGTCAACAACAATACTACAGCGAGAATAAAAGTTACGCCTTCTTTCTTTGCGTGAACATTTGGGCGGTGTTATGCAAATCTTCCCACGCAGTGACGTAGACATGTGGGGGCGTGTTAGAGCGAGCCGTTTTAGGTAGGTGTGGTTGACTCTTAACTTTTATAAAGAATATCTCTTTGGATTTGAGACTTTAGTCTTTGCAACTTTACAGATCTTCTTTATGCACCAAGAGCTTGTAACACTCCAAAGAGAAAGGAAAAATTGAAATCGCATCATATGACCCCTTTAATGCTTGAACTGAACCTTTACTAGAAAAGTCTCTGGCCCCCATGCGTTTTTTGGATGATTTTTTTTTTTTTGCTAGTGCAATAATTATAAACAGTGCAATAATTATTAATTCCAGTGTGTGGCAGAATAGATCACAAATGATTGATTTCATGTTAATAGAATAAATACTTGAATAAGCCGTTTGAATTGCAATTATGGAATTGAATATGAAATTGGGAGAATGGATTTAAATAAATCATCTATTTTAATTCTACAGTGTGTATTATTAATTCGATGGCTGTTGTATTGTGGTGTAATGTATTGTCCAGGCCCTAGATGGCGCTGTTGACGTGTGTAACATGCAGCGCTGACGGACCAATCAGAGTCGTCTGTAGCTGCGTCTCATTTCGGAGGATGCATACGTCATAAAGGATGAAAAGTAACCTAAAATTACTGTTATTCCTTGTGCAGTGTAAAATACTGTTTTTTTTTTTTACTTTGTAATCTAACGGTTACTTTTCTTAAATGAGACGCAGCTTGTGATTATTGGATTTTAATTAATTTATTTATTTATTTATTTGTAAGACAGGTTTTTCAATATAAGGTCTGGTCTGTTTAGTGTACTGCAAGATAAAATGTGATTGACCGCTAGAGAGCGTTTCTGATTGGCTAAAAAGGGCAGGCCACTCCCACTGTTTTGTTTGTTTGTTTGTTTGTTTGTTTTTGCTGAGCTAGGGGTTGTCACAAAGATAGATGTAATTTCTCAACACAGTTTACTCATATTTTCTAGGTAGTTCCATGTGAGCTGATTTTATGTGTGTTTATAATAAAATAATTCGTGCACAGTTCCTTCAAGACCGGCTCTGCGTCCCAATGTTCATACTATCCATCCTAAATAGTATGTGAGAATATGTGTGTTCCCAAGCATAGTATGCTGAAATAAGTATGCCGAAGTATGCCAAAAGTCCCCGGATGGTCTACTATTTCAGGTATATTTTTGGAGCGAATTCCAAACGGAAGTGAGCATCCCTATGCCCTACTCCCTTCAAATGGCAGGGCCCTTGAAGTGTGTTCTTTGAAGGGTGTAGGGCATTACTGTCTCGTTTAAGCGTTTGTAACTCCCTTGGAAGACTCAGCGGCTCTGGGCGAAGGGAATGACTGACCAAATGTCACCTTGACAACGCTGCGCATGCGTGCAGCATTCAGCACTCCATCAGTTGTTGCAAATAAATAGTTCTTCTTATTATTATTATTTTATTCAAATATTGTCTAATTGTGTCTTATTTACTATTAAACGTTTTCAAACTAAACTTGCTTAAATTTGTTTACACTAGGCTACCTTCTTAAATCCTATTTCTATCACTGACGAAAAATATGTTGTCTTACATTAAAATAGACGAATTTAATTAGCCTATTCTACTTACGTTTGTATGTGAACTCGAAATCATCCCCAACTTTGCTTTAAAAAGCATGGCAAGATCTCCTAACCGAAGATCACATGATCACAAACGAAAATCACTTCCGTGAAGTGACCATATGTTACCTTCGCTAACGGATTTCTTGGAAGGGCCCTTCGTGAAGGGATTCAGTCGTTCACTTTCGTTACAGGGCTGTCCAAACTCGATCCTGGAGGGCCGGTGTCCTGCAGAGTTTAGCTCCAACTTGCCTCAACACACCTGGGGCCGGTTGCATAAACTGTTTATACAAGTCTTAAAAATGTAGTCACCTAATTTTCTTCAAGACTGGTCATAACTTTTTTAATTCAGTTATGAAAAGGTAGATTGTTCTTATTTGTATTGGAAAAGTAAGACTGATTCTTGGCAACTGCTAGTTGGTCAAACTAGTTCTTAAGACACAGTCTTAACATGGTGGCTATGTTTACGCAACTGGCCCCTGACTGGACGTTTCTATGCCTAGTAAGAGCTTGATTAGCTGCTTCAGGTGTGTCTAGCTCGTGCGCGCGACAGGAAGTAAGTGCGCAAGACTGTCCCAGGTCTTAAAACTACCAAAGCGGAGTGCCCTTAACGCACACTAAACCCACACTATCTCGAATACCGCTCCGGAGCGCTATTTGAGGCTTAGTGTATCCCATCATGCATCATGTTCTGGAAATAAATCATGAGACTTTTTGCCGAGATCTCGCGAGAGGTCACGGAAACCTTTCCAATGCAAGTTAAATATTAATATAATAATTAGATATTACATATAATTTGGTAGAAAAACAGTGTTTTTACGTTTTATTGGTGCAAAGATGAGTAGTGGTGATATTTATTTTGTACAACATTTGCAACTGCTTTTTATCACTTAATTAGAAGCACCACAAATTAAAATTGTCATGTTATAGGGACTACTGAACAGACATTTAGAAGTTGATTTCAAAATGCAAAGTATTTAAAATAAAAAGTAAAATAAAGCTGTGTAAACACTTGCATTTTTACAACACTATAAGTGTGTCCCATCAGGTAATGAAAAGTTCTACACACACTTGTGGTCTTCATGCTCACTTGAACACTTGGGCCAAATACAGGAAATACATCATATAAGTAGTCAAGTGGTCAAGTTCAAAGACCGCAAGTGTGGGTATTTGGACAAGGCTGTAGTTTGGAATTCGCCCTTGAAGTGTGGATCCCTGCACACGCTAATATTGCCCACAATCCATTACGCTTTGGCGAAGGATTCGGTTCAGAACTACAAACACGCATAAAAAGCGCTAAAAACTACAAACATGGCGGATGTGCGCGCCCGACACATATAAAGGCGTTTAAGTTAGGCTACTAATAATCAGCATTTAACCTGGTAAAAATATTTATTTAATGTTATCTGTGTTATATTTCATCTGCAACAACAATGTGAACGTTTTTAAACACCCATTTGGCCATTCACTTTTAAATGCATCAAGCAAAAAAAAAAATATATATATGAGCAGAATTCTCCGCATAAAGAGCCACGGCTCACAGATCAACAAGCCAAGCAATATGGTAGGAAGTTAAATTAAATTAATGGAGGATGTTTACTGTGACAAGATGATTGGTACAGTGACAGGGTGGTCCGTTACAGTCGCACTTGTATGTCCCAAAGCTTGCCTACTCTTCTACTACACACTCAAAGGTGTGTACTTTTTCCTCACCAAACAGCTGGGACGCAGTGTGGCGTGTGGCTCTCTAGCGCTCAGCGCCGCTGCGGTCAGTGCAGGAACTACGCGAGCGCCGCTCTGGGAAGAGCACAGCTGTCACAGCGTGCAGGAGGACACTTAACAAGCGCAGAGCTGCCAACGGATCTCATCTGTTCGCCAGGTATGCCAAAATATTTAGTTCTAGATAGGAAAGACCCTATATTCGCATTTTAACAACCCACATTCACGTGATTTGCAGGAGTGTTCGTGTGTAGCGCGAAACGTATGGTTTTGTTAGTGTGCTTAGCATGCTAGCTGGCTAACCATATGGTGTGGTCTTCACTAACCAATCTAGGTGAACCCTTAAAGTATGCGAGGTTTTACATATAAAACATTTCGTTTTTAGCGTCTTTTTAAAGTCGGGATTATCGACATGCCTCGATGGTGTGGTGTGAAATAGTGCTAACTGTCGAGCTAATGGGCTAACGAGCCTAAATGGGCTTTAACAGCTAGCTCATAAACAGCTTACATTGAACATTAAAACTCGCTTTTACTGTATACTAGCATATTATTATTTATTTAAAAAGTATAAAATGCAAAAATACTGCAGTAGCTGTTAACTGGAGACATTATTCTCCTGTAATATGGAGCAGCTTTTGTGTCTTCTGATCACTCTGTGATTTCTGGATCAAGCAACAACATCAGCTGCCTGACATTGTTATTGTTTTAAACAAAGCCAGAGGCAGAACAGGGTGTACATTAAGTGTAAAACCTCATTTCCTCTCCATAGGAGCCACAGTCCTGGTGAAGTTTTATCGGACAGAATTTTATCAGCACAATAAATGATGTGGAGTTTGGTTTGTTGCTAGATAACTGGCATTGACTTTATCTGTGTGACTCATAACTCCTTCAGTCTCTGTGTGTTGTTGACATAAGTTTGTCTTCCATCCAACAGCATGGCTCGTGGACACCAGAAAATCCAGTCTCAGCAGAAAAACGCCAAGAAGCAGGCAGAGATCAAGAAATCCAAAGGCCACGACCAGAAGACCGCGGCGAAAGTGGCGCTGGTGTTCACATGTGGCGTCTGCAGGGTCAGTGGCTATTATAGCCGTTATTTTTACCCCAACAGATCATCCTTAGAGGTTCTTTTCAACCAAGTTTAAATTCCCACTTATGACAGATTGCACTTTTTATGCTTTTTGAACTTAATTGTATACACTGAACACAGCCCAAAGAGAAGAACCCATGTTTTCCATGCATGCTGTCGATACAAAGCTGATTTTATATGTGGGTGTGTGTAGACAATGAATGTGTTGGGAAATTACGTTCTCAAGCTGCAACTTGTTTCTGACTATGAGAGTTATTTACTGTAGGTAACAAATCTGACTTGTCAGTACACCTTCTACCAATTACCAGTAACTGAGAGCCACTCATAAGATTCATGGGCTTAAAGCTGGGCGTACACGGTGCGAATTCTGACGGTCGGAGGATTGTATGTCCACGCACACGTCACGAGTGAGTTTATCTGAAAATCATACGGACGCAGTGGTATACGACACGATTTTACGACCTGCCGAATTCCGAAGCAATAGCATGAAGTTCTCTGATGTAATGACATGTATTGAACGGAGTTGAGTTGAGAGAAGGGCAGTGTATAATAAACTGTGTAACCTATATGTAGTACATTTAAATAAAACCGCTCTCACTCTCTCTCTCTCTTTCATAACTGTATAATACTGATACGAGACATACGGGTTCTTTTTCAGCACTGGGAAACTGGGATGTCTGATCACCCCGTGTGTGTGTGAATTATAAAGCCTAGTTACACGCTATAGCTAACAAAAAGCAGCTACCTATACGTGCTACATCTCACCTGATAACTGTAGCTCTTGAGCGATCCGCTGTAAAATATCATCTCAGACGACTCATGGTACACACTGCATGACATTATACAGCGCTCGCTGCTTCTGCCAAAGTTCAGCGAGACCTCTCTCGTTTTCATGAAAGAATATGAGCAATACCTTTCATTGATCCAACTGTCTAAGAACAAAAAAGCTTTAAAAACTTTATCTGTTTGTAAATCTTTTCCTATCTTTAATGACATGTAAGTCTGAAATAGTTTTTTTTTTTTTTCAGTTTGTAATGTATTAACCACCCCCTTTTTCTTTTATTTATTTTGTTGTCATTGTCTATCACTTTTATTTGTTGATCGTTGTATTACTGTTTGTATACTGTTTTTGAACGTTAATAAAAAAAAAAATGTCAGTGAGTTTGTCTTCCTTTTCAATAGTCCAAATTCACCATGGCGCTGCCATCGTCCTTCTTCTCTGGTTTTCCTGAGCTCCTGATTGGTCAACTTCAGATAGATCGACAAATCGGCTCGTTCAACTGCGCACACCTCACGAATTCAAGCCGACAGCTCCCGAACTTTATTGACATGCAAATCATCGGGAGCACGTGAGGTGTGCAATTAATCGCATGCGATTGTCAAGCGCATCTCGTCAGTAAAGCCGGTCCCGTGATTAGTAGTAAATCTCCATCACCTGCTTTCAGATGGAGCGGCATTCACCACACAGAGCCGTAGTTCACTGAAAATTAGGCAATACGAGATGCACATGACAATCACATGCGATTAATTGCACAGCCCTAGGGCTCGGCTCGGCTCGTAAATCACTCTCACACGATGCGAGCCACGGCCATATGAGCATCAACGATTTCCACGCGATTTCTCCCGATGGGAAAAAATCGCGTACGAGCTCATACGACAGCAAAAATCGCACCGTGTACGCCCAGCTTAAGGGGACATCGGATGCCCATTTTCCACAAGTTGGTATGATTCTTTAGGGTGTTCATGAAATGTCTGTAACATACTCTGGTTAAAATTCATCAGTGGTCGTGTAAAACAACACCCTTTTTCCCTTGTCAAAAACAGCTCTGTTCACAGCGAGCCGTTTCGGTGCATGTCTCTTTAAATGATAATGAGCTACTGCTCACCCTGCCCCTCTCTTCCGTTTTTTGTGTATTTGGTGGTGTGTTACCGTCAAAAACAAAACTAATCCACTGCGTCCTCAGTGGCTCTGAGGTTGGGAGAAAATGAAGACTCTTATGTTCTACTTTTACATCCAACTACAAAACACCTGCATTGCTTTTGAGACATTTCTGTCGCTACAGCTGCTCGAGCGCGGAGAAAACAGCGGACAGCGTACAACTGGCTGAGACGGAGATATGCTAATATGGGACAGTCCCTCAGCGGCCGTGGGCGGGGCCTGAGCAGTATGACGTCATAATGCTCAGAAAATCAAAACAGCTTGATAATTGAGACTGTTTAGGTTTTTTGGGGATTTAAAGAAAAAGGAGTGAATGGATTCTTATATATCATTGTAGGGTGGTTGTGTCCACACACTGCATTTATATGCAAACTGTTTGCATATAAATGCAGTGTGTGGACACAACCACCCTACAATGTTTGAAACACCATGAAAAAGTGAATTTTGATCGCTGTCCCCTTTAAAGTCAGCATGAAATGATGTTGCCAACCCATTTTACTTGCGCAGTGTGTCAGATGGTATGACGTATGTACAGAGCAACAGTGGAGAAGTACCAAAATAACTATATTAAAGCAACTGTATGTAGTTTTGAAACAGAAGCCATTCACATTATTAGAAGTCTGTGATTTTGAAACTGATATTTCAAGGTAAAAAAAAAAAAAAGCCTTGGTCACACGTCAAACGTCCATGGTGTAGTGATGTATGAAGCACAGCTCACAAAGAAGTTATCAAAGCAAGCAGCTTTCTGTTGGTTAATGCGGCGAATCTACATGACCAGCTTGAACCCACTGTGAAATCTGTGGGGGGAAATCTCTCGCAAAATTCCCCATTATGTGGGTTCCTATTGAAATAATTGGAGTTCTTCTGCAAAAATTGGCAGCGCCTTTATAATAAATGTATTTAGGGCTGCACATTAATGACTTAGCGAATAATCGTTCTTATTTTAACTATAATCACAGTTATTATTTAGGATTTTCCTCATTTGAGAATTTTTTTCTTTGTTGCATCAGAATTATTGCACTGTAACGGAAGCACAAATCAAGAGACCGTCAGCTCATATGCAGGGTTTATTTTACCTCATCTAGTTTCCTGATTTATTATATTTGGCATATATACAATAACACTCTCTTTACATTATAAAAAAAATGGTAAAACCTTAAAGGGATAGTTCACCCAAAAATGAAAATGTGAAATAACATTACAAATACAACACATTACTCACTCTATTGACAGCGTGCCTTTGGGTCCCTCTGGCCTTGGATGTCGCCTCCAGTTTATACGTGGCAAGCTAAACGCAACGTGCAAAACGCTGCGGCTCAACAGCGGAGAAAAGTCTGGATCTTCAGTCAGGCAGGTGTGTGGTGGGAC